CGGCGGGCGGGGCGCGCGGCGCCTTTAAGAGCGCGCTCACGTGACCCGCCCGCCCCTCCCCGCACCTGTCAGAGGGCGGGCGGGGCCGGCGGAAAGCCCCGCCCGCGGTTTCCGCTCCCTGACTGCGCACCCTCCGCCCCCTCCCCCCTCCCGCAGCGCATGCGCACAGAGCAGCAGGGGAGACTCATCGCACATCCAAAATGGCGGCCGCGATGGATGTGGACACCCCCAGCGGYACTAACAGCGGCGCCGGCAAGAAGCGCTTCGAAGTGAAGAAAGTGAGGCCCGCCCCTCGGCGGGAGGGAGGCGGGGGGGGCGCTCCGGGCCGGCCCGCTGGCGGCGAGCGGGGCCGGGGCGGCTTCCCGCTCCCCCACGGGCTCCCGGTTCCGCACCGGCGCGGGCAGGCGGGCGGCGGGGCGGGGCTTGCAGGGTCATGACGTGCTCCGGAGCCAATGGGCGCAGCGGGCGGCTGCACGTGTCGCTCGTGCCGGCCAATCAGCGCGCGGGGCTGGCGGCCGCCGCCGGGGGAAGGGGTTGGCGCGTGAGGGGGCTCCGTCCGGCGCCGCCGCGGCCTGCGGGCGCCCCGGGCAGCTCCTCTGTGCGGAGGGATTCTTACCTTATTTATTTTATTACCCTTTTGCCTCAGGCAGTAACTGTGCGTGCGCAGTCAGTAAGCGCTCTCCTGTCACACCTTTTTTTTTTTTTTTAAATAAACTTCCCCGGCTTCCCCAAACAGTCAAATGTAGACCCCCTGCTAAGCGCCTCCCGTTGCCCTGTCAGGCGGGTGGTGCCAAACGCCCGTGTGCCCGTTACACAGGGGTGCACGTGAGGTGGGGAGCTCGAGTGGGCTGCTCAGTGCTAGAGTCTGCAGGAGAGAAACCCTGGACTGGTTATGAGTAAGCACTTCCATACAGCGATTCGTGCATATGTGTATTCTCCTGTTKGGAGAGGACTAACTCTCCAACTAACTTGTTTCCAGGTTAGTTTGTTTGAAATACAGCTGCTGTTGGTGACAATGGACGCTCCTAGCTCTGTGCTGGGCTCCGGGTCTGCCAAAGCGGGTGCTCGACTCCRGTGCTTTGGGAGTGGAGGTGGGCAGTGTCCTCCGGCCACAGCATCCTGTGTTGCTGCCGTTCTGCTTAGCTCTGCCTTGGGCTGCCAGTGCAACAGCTCTGTGTGCGAGAGGAGYCCTCCAGTGCGTTCGTTATAACTGCCCTGTGTTCGGTGGGGGCTCTGTTCCCTTCCCGGAGCCATAGCAGTGCTCCCCGTTACAGCTGCGCTACTCCAGCACGTAAGAAGAGCAGGAGGGGTCCAAATGAGATGTGCAAGGGATTAAGTACCTGAGAGCTTGGAAGGGATGAGGGGACTTACCCTGCAACGTGCCCTCATGAGAGAGTCCTTGGAAGATAAGGAACTTGGTCACCAAACTGGAAAGAAATAAAATGTCTAGACCTCTTTGTTATTAGTAAATAGTAAATGAAGGTTATCCTGGCTACCTATATGCTGTCACACTGTTTTGAGTATTAAAGGCAAGTGCATCTATTTAATTGCTCAGGAGTTGAGGGAAGGCAGCATGAGAGTTGATTCCAGTCATTGATTTGAATTGTTTTGGGGGAAGATTATTCCTTAGAACAGCTGCAAATAATGGAAATGCCTCTTAACCAAATGGCATCCGAATTGACCTTTCTTCAAGGCAGTGTCCTTTCCATCAGAATTAAGAATGTAGCATGAGATACATTCTTGGCTAGGAATCTTGAATAGAAATGYAGATGATTACGTTTATTTGATTGGGGGAAAAAATAGTAGCTCTCCTTTCTAAAGTAGGAAGGAGCATTATGAGAAGAATAAGGAGGAGACTGTACTCTTGCTTTCATCTAACACTTTCCAACTCATGAGAAGGATTGGCTTTGGCTTTCTAAGAGCTTTTCTGTGAAATTCCCCTGCTTTTCCATTTCAAAAATACATGGGATCTTGAGGGGAAAAAGAAGGGTTTGTGTGTGCTATAAATTTCATTAAAACTATGTTAAATTTAATTAAAAATATGTTTCTCTTTTTTTTTTTTTTTTTCCCTCTCTTTCTAGTGGAATGCAGTAGCTCTGTGGGCATGGGACATTGTGGTTGATAACTGTGCCATTTGCAGAAACCATATTATGGATCTATGTAAGTAAATGGTGAGGAAGACACTTAACAGTTTTGTCACAGGCATGGTGCACAGCAGAAATATCCCCTGTTCAGGGTATGTTTCTGCAAATATAGCTTTCAGTTAGGAGATAACTTTTTTCAATGCCTGTAATGCTGTGTTCTATCTTGTGTAATGCTAAAGTTCTGTAATCTGTATCTGTGATTTCTGTCACCATACTGCTTTCCCCACCCTTTTCTTGTAAGGGATAGAATCTCTTGTTACCACATCCACAGAAGAACTGATTTTGCTGAATGTGATTTGGATGGAACTGTGAGGAAAGGGAATAATGATAAAGAGCCGGAAGGACGTGAAGTTATTTAGGGTTGATGGGTAATGCTTTCAAAGAGAAGTGATGGAGTTTGAGGGATAGGTAGGAAGCGTTTGAAGAAGCCCACTAGGATGAAATCTTTTAAGACTTTTTGTATCTGGCTGGCCAAAAATGGCTCAGCCCTTGATTCCTTACTCTGCAAAAGCTACTTTGCATAAGTTAGTTAACGTTTTGTTATGGGGAATGTATGGTCACTTAGAAAAGTAATTGCTTTTTTACGAATAGAATAATCAARTGTTGAAAGAAAATACAAAACACTTAATATTAATGAGGGCTTTTGCTGTATATTTTGCTATATTGATGATTCAAGTAATAAGGATGCTTTTAAGTACAGTTATGCATATAAACAAACAAAAAAGCAATTAGATATAAAAGTTTCTATCCTGAGATGGATGTGTGCTGGTTTCAGTCATAGTGAATACAGTTTTTTTCTCCACGCTGAGAAGCTATTTTTAATGCAGTTCACCTGTCCAGTTCTTTAAGTAATGACAGATGAACGAGTTTTTAATTTACCTGTGTAGAAATTAGGCTTATTTGCTTGTAGCTAAATGTAAAGCTAACTAAAATGTGAAGATCATTAAAGCAAAATGAGGTACAAAAAGCAGGTACAACTGTAGTGTCAGAATATGGCAGTCAGGATTCCCTCATGACAATTTTGTTTCACTTCATTTTTATACAGAAGCCCTTGGAATTACTGGTAATGATAACTTACTGTCAGTAAGCTCATGTGAACAATAAAACATGTTTCAGAAAAATGAGACCTCCTTTTTATAATAACTAGTGAGAGCTGCTCCTGATTTCACCTTGTATTTAATTATAAAATCCTTCTGAATGTAACTTTGGAATTATGAAAGAGAAAACATTGTAATGCACAGGGCTGAAATTGGGTTAAGTGAGTTCACTTTCCTACAGATATGTTTGTATTTTGACAGGCATGAATAAAAGTTTGTACTGTTTATTCAATCCTCAGTTTATTTATAGTTATTAGAAAGGGAACGATAGCAGTGAGACAAGCAAGAGGGAACCGCAGTTGTGAAATGTGCTGAAGTTCTTTAACATAAGGATTTATTTTAATGACACTCTAACCTGTGCCATCTTAAAAAGGAGTTCAAGTGGACACTAGAGATACAGCTCAGTCTCTCATGATTAGGGTATATTACAGAGGAAAACATGCAGGTGACAATAAATGGAATTTTAAAGGTCCATTGGTAGAATAAGTGTGTAAAATCATATAGGTCAGTATAATTATTCCAAAGAAATGGGATATACTCTGTTTCGCTATGTGAATCTGCCTCAAAATTAATTGCCACTTCCCCGAAAGACCAAGTGGAGTGCTTGCTATTTGCCATTTTTGATAAGTGGCAAATAGAAACCATGATGAAGGGGAGATATAGAGGAGCTAGAAGGGGAGTAGACATGTAGCAAAATTCTTATGTCTGTTCTCAAAATTAGAAAGTCCTATACAAGTGACCTTCTGAAGCTGCAAAGGCAGAATAGGAGAAATAGTGAAGAGGAGAGGATGTAGATGTCTAAGCAATGTTATGAAAAGCCTGTACTGCAGACAGATGGCCAGAATTGACAGTATACAGAGTATGAGAAGTGCATAAATTGCTCTTCTCAGATCAATGTTGRGTCTGGCTTTACTTACTTCCTTGTTACAGTTCATTAATGATGTTAAAAAAAAAAAAGTAATTAGATTTTCAAACCTAAGATGTGAAGTGTTGGGAAATTGAGGAAAAATTAATAGAACGTGCAGGGAAGGACAACACAAGATTCAATTTGATCAAATGCCAGATGCGAATGTCTCCATCCTCCAGTGATAAAGAGAAGTCTTGAAAGGGGAAACATTAAGAGTGATAAGTGATAAGCACACCAGCTTTGTTAATGGAAGATTGTTAACATTATAAAGTCAAGCTAGGATCCAAAAGCTAGGATGTAACAAAGTTAAGGTTTTGTGTATTCCTTGCAGTGTTCTCCACATCATGACATATGGTCAAAGGATTTCCCCATTTCCCAGCATGATTGGTTGTCAGTGTGCAGAATGAATGAATAATTTTTCAGTGTTTTGGTGTTTTTTCATTGGTCTCTGGAAACTAAGATTTATGTCCTATTAAGATTTTACTTAAGCAGCATTCTTAAGTTCTTCAAAGGCTTGCTCTGTGGAGCTATTGCTGCAGCATGGTAAGTTGAGGGGTGTTGGAAAACACTGTGATTATGATGATGGGTTACCTTCTGGTCTGAGATATGGAATATAATATGGTGTTAAAAGTGAGCCATATGCCTTTGAAATAAATAAAATATGCTTTTGAAATACCTCTTTCTTTGATAATAAGATGCAAAGTACCATATTAGGTATTCCAGTTGCACAAAGATGGACAATTTGAGTAGGCTCAAAGAAGAATCTGAGGAATTAGCAAGGTGAATTATTTTGGGTTCATGGGAAGAGTGAGAGAGTGGAACTAAGCATAGGTAGTTTCCTAAATTATAAGTAAGAGTGGATCATGATAACTTTATACAAATATTTTTGAGAAACTGATACCAAGAAGAAATACTGAGTGTCATAGAAGGGGTTTAAAGTAGAAGGGATCGTAGGACAGTGCARTGTGGGTTGGGAGCTAGGGTAACTCTTGGGGGAAGAAAAAAAAGGATAACTTACAAGAAATAAATTGCAAGGAGAAAGTACTAAAATCCATCTGAAGTTTTGAAAACTAAATTGGAGAGTTCATGCTACATCTTCTGGGTAACAAATATATACTCCAAAGCTTATTAAACTGGTTGTTTTTCATCCTTTTCTGAATGAGTACAGTACCTGCTATGCTAGCCGTTCATATTCAGTTCTGCTCTTTCATCTACATCAGCTGCTTCATGACTTTAAAAAAAAAAAAAAAGTCCCTTCATGCTTAAAAAAGAAAATAAAGAAGGCAACGTGTGAAGAGAAAGGGGAACCCATTTAGTGGTTACCCCCRCTGAAGCGGGAGCCATTTTGGGGAGCGCTGGCAGCCGGTTACCGGCGCAGCAGCCTCTAAATGGCCGCCGCAGTTGGGAGACCTGCACTCGACTTTGGTTAAGTACCGCCATGGAGCTACTTTTCTGGTTGTATAACTGTCAGAAGATTTGGGCGATAGGAAATGAAGGGGAAGAGGGATGGTTCTTAAGAAGCGCCAGGATTCACAAGTCGTTATATAATATGCGCTTCTGTAGCTGCCTGGGTTGAAACACTTGCGCTGCCCCTTTCACAATTATTACAGGTAGTTCAGGTTTTAGCCGTGTCTGTCTGCCCTCGCTCCAGATGCTCTGCCAAAAGCAAAGCCAAAGCAGTGTAGTTCACTGCTTCTCCTCTCGTACTTGTTCCTTTCAGTCTCTTATCACGTAACTTTGGCTCAGGAGCCAGTGAATAGATAGAATCATCAACTTTCACTCTCCGACCAAGACTTGATTTGTGAGGTTTTTTTGTGTTTTTTTTTTTTAATTAGGCAAGTGGGAGATCAAGCAGTGATTTTTTGCAAGGCCTCTTTTTTCTCTTTTTTTTAATTCTGTCATTCAAAGATGATGGTGCCAGCAGTATTCTCCAGCCTATTTGATGAGGGAGTTAAATCTGGATGTCTTGCTGGGAGGCCCTTAACATCCCCACCAGAGAACTCCTGCTCAGCTATTCCTGCAAAACCTCATCTGTGCTCCTGGCTTTGGTACTGGTGTTTGCTTTAGACTGTGCTTGCTGTTTAGCAAAGGCAGGATAACACTAAAATGAATTTYAGTGCTGCATTTCTCACTTTACATAAGCCACTTTGCTTCCTTTCTCCCTCACACTCAAAATACAATCTTAAAAACCTGGAAAAGTTTTAGGATGATATTCCAAAATACACAGTGTGCAGATTGTGGCCATTACAAGGGCACAACCAAAGGACTTGAGAATGCATGAGATTGAGCTCAATGGGCTTCAGATTTTRTGTGGCCCATATCCTGTTCCCAGCAGGGCAAAGGGGGAAGAACCAAGATAAGCATTCTGCGTGCTGGAATATTTTCCTTGCTTTTAGCAGCCAGGGACTTCCTGAGTTATTTAGCTTACCATTATTAGCTTACCACTTACCTCGAGTGCACTGTCTCTCCTTCTCCCACTACTCTTCTCACCATTCAAAATCCTTAAAATTAGCCCTGTGTGACCCATGATGCCTAGTAGGATCAGAGTCTGTGCTGTTGTAACAGTGGAATTGTTGCAGCAATCTTGAGTAGTCTTGAGCCTTTTTCACAAAGATGCACCTTTCTTTCTCCAAAGAGGCTGAAGCTCTTAGGTTCTTGCGCACCTTCCACTTAATTTGATACATTTCTATTGCTATAGGTGTTGAAGGCCTAAGAAATAAAGAAAGGTAACGCTTCAGCTGCACTGGAATTTGTACTTTTCTATGAACAGGCCTAAGGTTGAGCTTTGGACTTTCTGCTTTGTATATTGTATGTTGATGAAAACTCTTATCTTAAATATAGGTTCATCTGAATCTTACAGAACATTTGCTGGAACTCAGTTTCTTTAAATCTCAGACTTGTTTTGAGTAGTTCTCGTGCCTGAGGTTAAAAGATCTTTCTCACATGTCATGAAAAATGGGCCTCTCATTTTATTTTGTTCATCCCCACACTTGGGAGTAGAAAAGAGAGGAGAAGATGAAAAGGGCAGAACAAATGAAGATCACATTTTTCAGATAAACCCATGGGACTTTATAACATTTTAAAATCCTAATTGGTGAATTAAATTCATTTTCCTTTAAGCATATTCAGGCATAAAGTGCACATAGATTGTTCAGCTCGTTCAGACATTTTCTTTGCCAAGAAAAAATATCTGCAAAAGAAGGAAGTTAYCAAACCAAGTATCCAAATCTAAGCTGATCATCAGTACTTCTTTTTGAACTGTTTGGGCTTGACTTTTTGTTTTGAAGAAGCATCTTTAGCAGGAAGTAGAATGTTATCCTTAAAATAGGTTTGTGTTGCTGACTATAAGAAAGTTGGAAAKGTCTTGTTTTCTGCCTGAACTTCAGCTAGAGATTAACTGAAGTGTTTAGGGTATAGAATCAAGAGATGGATTTGTTTTCTTGGTGCTGTTCTTCCTCTCTCCCTCCCTTCCTCACTTCATCCATGCCTCCTGACATAAAAAATATAATAATAATAAATAATATATATTATATATTTATACATATATAATAAAGAAATAATCTTTATTATATGCTGTCCTTTCCAGCATCATCATCCTAGGTACTCTGCCCGAAGGTGTTAAAAGCTCTAAACATAGTTTAAACTGTATTTTTCATATGTCTTTGGGCACACACTCATCTGTTACAAGGCTGTGGAGAGGAGGCAGACAAACTTCATCTTTATATAAGTTATTTTGTAAATTTAATTATTCGGTAAATTCAGTTTACAGTTGGGAAAAAAAGAAAAAAGTCTGACAAGACGATGAATTTATATTTAGAGAGTTCCAGATAAGACATTCAAGTAAACTTTTCTTCACAGTTCTGCTGTGGCAGTTGGTCATCAGAAAAAGTGTATTAATGCACAACAAACCAAATGAGAAATATTTGTTCTTAAAACTTGGAAAGCAGATACGCATTACTGGCASATGAGCAAAGTATTCTTGCTCTCTCGTTCTTTGGGATCCTAAAATTAGAGGAAAGGGGAAGGTGGGGTGAATTATGATCTAACCTTTTTTGGGGAAAAAGTTCRTTTTAAACGAACAGGTCTTGACACTTTTCAATTTAATGAATTCAACAAAGCAAAGAACTTTTTTTTCTCTTTTTTTCTCCTTACTTGCTATAATAAAGAAATCTTCCAGTTGGTGTTGCATGTAGATCTTCTGCTCTTGCACATACGTGTTTAATCTTTGTTTTCACAGGCATAGAATGTCAAGCAAACCAAGCATCAGCTACCTCTGAAGAGTGCACAGTTGCATGGGGCGTCTGCAATGTAAGGAAAACTGTTCTGTTAATGAGCTCAATATGTAACAATGTCCCTTCTTTCTCCAAAAAAGGCTTCAATCGTCCTCCAGAAAGAAAAACTTTAAAATGTGATTTGTTTAGCAGAGTGTAGAAGGGAGACAGTAGAAAATATATGGTAAGAACGAAAGTGGGAGAGGTGTAAGGGGAAACACAGAAGAGGAGAGAGGAAGATAGGTCTTGTCCTTACTTGATGATTTGCTGTTTTGATTTATCTTTGTGCAGGCTGGTTCGAGGAGTCAGCACAGGGTGACTGGGTGGTTTGCTTTTCCTTTTGGAAGAGGATGAGATCAGTTTGAGTGTTTAATTTCCAGATCTTCCTTTTTGTTGCTGTGTGCACTCCTTCGTATGTGGTCCTGCTAGCATGGGAACTGGCATGCCATCTCTTAGCTAGTCTGGACCTGACTGGGAAGATACAGTTTTCCGTAATGGAAGAGCCACTTGTTCCTCACTCTCTACTTTGTTATGCCTTGGGATTGGGTTGCAATGTGATAATTCCTAAACAGGATTATGAATGTTATGATTCTCTCTGTAAAAGATGAGTGATGATTTTTTCTAACCATGTCGGAATTGTCTAGGGTCAAAATTCTGACTTTCTGTGCAATAATTAGCACAAATGCAACCTTGTTTTTTGAGGAGCTGTATGGGGAGTAGAAGAGAGTGTCTGCAGTGTATGTGTGATAGAGATTTTTTTTTATTCTATTCTTGCACATTCGTTTTTATTCRAGCTTGAGTTTGTCCAGAGATCTTGCAGAAAGCTTCAGCCTGTCTACATACATATCACTCTGCTGCTTATTGTGAAATCCTCTTTCTTGCCTCTCCAATTGTGCTTCTTATCAGCATCTGCTCTGCCAATTTTAGCAGCCGCTAAACTCTGCGTTCTCTCCTCATCAGAAGTCAGTCACTTGCCGCTGTCTCCTGTGGAACCGGCTGCCTGCTGCCGTTCCGTTAATGTTCCCTTTCTCTCACGAACTTGGATCRGCTCCTTGGTGCTCACCAGAGAGCTGGCTGATGAGTCCTCCCCACCTTTGTGTACAGATTGCTACTCGCTGCTTACTGGGATCATCTTGATGTATTAGCTTTCATGGTGAGGCACATTTGTGAATACTGTGTTTGGAAATGATGTGATCTGAACTTTCTCTTCCAGCATGCTTTCCACTTCCACTGCATCTCTCGCTGGCTCAAAACTCGCCAAGTATGTCCGTTGGACAACAGGGAATGGGAGTTTCAAAAGTACGTATCCTGCACACTTGTCAACATCAAAAAATGCAGTTGTCTTTCTGCTAGCGGAAATGGGCCATGTCAGATACGTGGGTGCCTTCCTCGTTTCTGCATCTGACAGCACAGCTGCTGTTGGGAGGGGATTTTACTTTGCTATGTAGTGACCCTTCCTGAGTCACTTGGTGACTCTGAAGGAAGACAGAATAGCTGTGGATAAATGAGCCTTGTTACAAAGTGGCAATTTCTATCGATGTTCTCACTAAAGAGTGGAGAGCAGAGAAGTGGAATTCCCGGAAAACAGAGCCTCCGGTGAATACTGTGCTGTCACATGAGCATTTTGGGCTTGGAAAGTGACCTGAATTGAGCCTCTCTTCTTTCAGAGTATTTACACTGAGGTACTAGAAGTGTTATTGGGTCTTGGTGATTTGTTTTATAATTCTAATAAGATTAGATTAGAGGTTAATACAGCTGACTTCTTAGTATCTTGAAAGCAAGTCCATGTAACCATTGCTACTGTTCACACGTTTATTCAGACTTCCTGCATTCTTTTTTGCTTTGTTTTCTTCAAAGGTCCATTGTTAGGATAATCAGGAGATAAATGGTGCGGTTTTTGAGGATTAACTGTACATGGACAGTAGTTGGGAACTGTGCCTGCCCTGTTCATCCATTAATCTCTGCATAACTGTGGATTCACACACACACACTTTTTTTTTGAGTCTATCTAGACCATTTARAGGCCATTAGGAGACCAGATTAAAACAAAGTGAAACAAATATTGTAGCTACTTAGGATTGTCATTGGGACCTGCTTCACCTTTAGTTGGCAAGGCAATTGAGTACCATAGTTTTGGTCTTAAGATATTTTAATGAACAGTTAGTGAAAACTGAACTCAAGGTGCAGCTCTTCTGTCTGGTTACAGACTAATGTTGCATAAGCAGCATTATGAGTGATAGAAATATGTATCTTCCTATGCCTCCTAATAATATGTGCAGAGATGTCATAGGTTCTGGCCTTATTTTCACTTGGCCTATAACTGAAGTGGGATTCAGAGCAGAAGCTGAGGATAGTGAGAGTCTCTTGAATATGAAGYGGTGGACTCGTTAGTCTCCCATCTCAGTAAAGACTGGACATATTTGAGGGAAGTGAAACGTGGAGAAGTTCCCAGGGTTTTCCATAGCATAGCATCTTGCATATACCTGTGTTGCGTGTTGATTATGTTGTGTTAGAATGAGAATAACTCTCCTCAAATCAGTGCTAGTATCAAATGCAAATCTTCAAAAAGCATTAATRTAATGTATTATGTATTTTCAGGTATGGACATTAGAGAGATGGTCACTAAGCTTCTTGTGTCATCAGCCTGAATTGTTCATCTCATTACGGGTTTGTTTTAGCAATTTGAAAAATGTGTATACTGTTCTGCTTCAATCTGAGTATCTCTCTATTGTACACCATTGAATAAAACCTTGCCAGAGCTTCCTGTCTACATTTTTGTYTTGTGTTTATGAGTAGAAAGTTGGTAAATGAGAAGATGAAGGGATTTTCTGAAGACTGGGGAGTCCAGGTACTCTTTTGTTCATTAATATCATCAACGCTCTGGGGGACAGGCATCCAGTTTTCATAGGAGAAGTTTCTGRATGAATACTCTTGCCACTGCCCACAGTCTTTTACTCCCTAGTAATTTCATACCCACACTTCTGGCTCACTGAAGTCAGCATTAAGGCTTCATCATGTAGTTCAGTGGGAGCGAGATGTGGCCTGACTAAGTTTTATTTATGCAAATAGTGTTCTCAGGTGGACACACTTTCTTACAGTGGAGTTGCAACAATGATCCATATAATTAGGGGCTGTATCATTGTTAGAAAGTACTTTGTATTGCTTCTGCTCTTGAGTTGAACTAGACCAGCTCTGCTACTGGTCTCAGTTCTGTTTAACTTGGGAGACCTTAACAGAAGTGCACTTTTTGTGAGTGCTCATAAAGCRCTTCTGTGTGTCAGATGAAAGTAGGCTCAGGTAACTCATGTTAAATTGAGTGCRGAGCTAAAAATAAGTGGTTCTATGAAAAAAAGGATCTTGATGGCTTTTTTGCTAGTATTTTCCCAGTTCAAGCCAGTACACAGTTCTTACTGGCCAAAAGCTGCTACTGTGAGAAGTACTCAATGCTTTGTTTGACATCTCCCTTGCCAAATGGCCTGGTGTCTTCATCATTGCATCAAATGTTGGCCCTTGTTGGCATTGTCAGCAGAGGCTTGTACCTTAAATACGGTAGAAGAAATTCTTACTGCAGAAGGTTGTGATTTTCACATCACCAGTGGCAGGTATGCACAGTTTCTTTTGTGATTCTACCTTTGGATGAGTACATTTTTGCCAGTTATTGAGGATGGAAGTTTGTTACCTAATGCTGAATATCAGTGTACTGTAGTGATGGGGTGTGCATATGGTYATCAACAGAGCCAAAACTTGCAAGCAGTCTAGTTATTGCTGGGGTTTTCTTTAATCTGCAGCAAGCAAATATCAGGATTATTTTATCAGCAGGTGTCAGTACTCTGCAATGATACAGTTTGCCCATTTTCCACCATCAACAAGAAAAAAGGGACAACTGAAGTCAGGAGAGTTTACAGGACACCACAGTTTGGTGGTTTGGCTTCTTTCTGCTGGAAATCTGGAGTTGAATTTGTTCAAAGCTCATCAAGGTAATTTTGGTGATGGGAGTGGGAATGAAGCAGAGCAGGGGGAATATTGACCTTCAGGGCTAACGCAGTGGTCAAAGAGTTTGTCCAGGCAATGGGATATCCAGGTTCAATGCYGTTCTCTGGAACCGGCACTTCCTCTTGCATGTCCCGTCCACCTGACCAAAACATCAGCTGTCCCTGTTGATGACAGCCCGTTTGGAATACRATGTTTGAATATTCAGGACCTGGAGATTGGGGCATGCAGTCCCCCTAGAGCTTTACTTTGGGTCCAGCTACATCAGCCTGTCTGCCTTTAGTCTGCACGTATTGCCCTGAGCGTGGCTTTTGGCTGCGGATGCATCAGTGCAGACGTTTCCCTCTCCTTGGTGCCTTTGTGTGTTTTTGCTCGAGGCTGTGCCTGCCAGCAGACTCATTTTGTATCACTTTTTTTTTTCCTTTTTTATTTTTCCTTTTTTAATGAATCTGTGAATTCTGTGAATCCTTCCAACTGGTGATTTACAGGCACTCTCCCCCACAGCACTCCTTGTACTCTGTTCTGATACAGTACGTAAACCGTTAAATTTGATTCCAGTTTGCTCTTCTGGAGTCTGTCCCAAACCTGGTTTCCCTAAACAGGGAAGAAAATAAATAAATAAATAAATGAGTGGGAAGCAGCAATTGTTTGCGGAACTGGGAAAGAAAATCCGTTTTCAGCTGCTGCCGGTCGAAACGGTTCTGCTGCTGTCTTCCCTGCTGCCACAGAAGGCCTGGAAGGGGCTGTGAGGAACGGGGGCAACGCCGGGCGCCCGCTTTGCTGCAGCGCGCCCAGGAGCGCCCRGGGTCCCGGGCGGCGCCGCGGCCACCCAGGGCTCCGCTCCAGCCGGAGAGACAAAGGCTCCCGTTCCCGGGGGAATGGGGGTTCGCTCGGGCTGGCCTCGCACGCTCCCCACATCTGTGGTTCCACCTCCACGCAGGCGGGAGCTGGGAAGGAGCGTTTGTTGCCCATATCTCTTTTTCTTTCCTGAAGCAACAGTCATTTCTAGCCAGAGTGTCTCCTTCTTGCAGGATATGCACTGCTTTTTTAGGGGGTGGGAGGAAGGGGTTGGATGYGTTTCCAAGTGCTTCATGCGCTGGGTGGAAGGTAGGTGTGCAGGGGGAAAAGGGTGGCCGTGGTTGTGCCTTCTCTCACTGCTATTCCATAAAAATGTCAAAATCAGGGCTCTGTGGTGCACAGAGAGCCTGTTGAACTCTATTTCTCTCTCTTTTTTTTTTTTTTCTAAAGCAAAAGGTGGTGGACCAGCACCAAAGACYGAAATATGTGTGTTATAGTGCAGGSGTTGAGCAGCAGTTCATAGATAGGAATATAGGTGCTAAGTTCTTTCCCCTCAAAAATCACRTTATGGGCCATACCCTGAAAAACGGCGTCATCTGTCAGAGGTCATCGGATGGCAGCATCCATCAGCCTCTCTTTCACTGGCACCTTGTGGAGAAGCTTATTGGCATCCTGAAGTATGCCAGAGCCACAAGTTGTCCATCAAAGAGGGTGTGAGGCTCACCCGAGCCCCATCAGCGATGAACAACGATGAATCAGCGCGGGCAGATCCAAGCTTCCAGGAGCGGAGCAGCTCAATGGGAAGCCCAAGGAGGTTTGCACTGTCTGCTCTTCTGGAAAAGATCCACCTCCACGTACATCAGGGCAGCGGCTGGCAACAAAGCTGCATCCCTGACTGGCAACCACCTTTGCTTTCACTCATCTAGTTAGGAGCGAGCAGACAAGAAGATAATGTAAGGAAGAGATAGGCAGAGACTAAGGCTACATTGCTGCTCATGCTTGTCCCAGACACCGTTCCCATCAGGAAAGAGGTAAGTAGATGTTGTGGCAAGCAGCAAATTCCAGTGCAGATTTGGATGGAGAGCGAAGCCTTTCCTCTCAGCGATGCCATATGTTGGCATGGCCTCTCTTGCTTCAGGTCACCCTGAAATGTGCCACTGTAGGACAACATGGAGAAAAAAAATATGAAAAACATGTCATCTTACAGGGATTTATTTTGTGACTGCGCACGCAGTGCATGTGCGAGAGCTTGGATGTGATTCTCCCACAGGCCCAGGTGGGACTGGGACAGGCATCTTTTTGGAAACATCTTTCAAGGGCCGGCAGCACAGGTCCCATTCTCTCATCCTACTCTCAAGTCTCCCTCTCCCYGTCCCACTGTCAAAGCCCGTGTGTCCTCATCACAGCAGCTGCTTTGCCCTCGGCAAAGGGACGTGCTCCTCAGCAGGAAGGGAAGGGGGTTTTCAACAGGCTCGTCCCTGCTCCTCACCCTGGCCTGGCTGAAAGCTGACGCTGGCTGCAGCCTGCTGGGAGACTCCCAGGCCACGGCTGGAGAGAAGGGGGAGGACACCGCACCATGGAAGATGTTTTCCCACATCAGAGTGCCCAGGAGTTCGGCAGGAGAGCAAATGAGGAGGTGCATGCAAGGGAAGGTGCCTTCTGCTGAGGAGCAAGCTTTGCTTTTCAGCTCTTACTTTTCCCCAAGAGCTCGTGCCGCTGCTGTTGCTGCTGTGTCTAATTTGCTGTGAGGAAACACGCCTTCCTCCCCGCTTTGCCACGCGCGCTTTATGTAACTTTGTTTTCTTCCCCAATGCAACAGGTTTTTCTGCCAGGCTTGTTCTGTTGACTGCGGCACGTAGTGAACGGCACGCGTCTCGCCCTCCACCACCACCGATTTCTCTCTGATCTGGTCTATTATCTGGTCTGGTCTGTTATCGGGTCTGATCTTCACCATTCTCCTTCTCTGATCCCGTTCCCATGGAGATCCCAAAGAATAGACGGGTGCCGTGTTCATCTGGAGCCTCAGGGAGGAGGTTAGTGGGAAGGTTTTTGGCTCACCTGGGAGGTAATTGTAACCCGTCCCAGCAGCCAGTCAGCTAGTTGCTGGAAGGTCTATTTTGGGTTTCCATCGCTTAACTCCTTCACCACAGAAGGTTCTTGGCTTCTTGTTTCCCTCCCCTTTTTTTTTCAGGCTGCTTTCCAGCCGCTCCCTCTCCCATATAGGAGATGATACCCAAAGGTGAGCTGAGCAGTGGCCCATCTCTCAGGCCTTACATGTTACACCACCCCCCTGATGGTCTCAAGAACAAAAGAAAAACATCATTTGAGGTTTTGATTTAAAGATCTCTTAGAATTCAGTAGCAGATGATTCCAGAAAGTACGTGTCTATGTGTGCAAGCACAACACTGCCAGTTTCCTGCTGCATTTACTACCTCTCAGACCCAACTTTGCTGCCAATATCAGCTCAATCACCCATTTTCTTGCTCCTCACATGAACAGTGAGGCCTGGCCCATGAGAGAGGAGCAGGGCACAACATTGGGGTCTGAAGAGGTACCAACACGATAGGTAACACCATCAAGGGGAGGTTCAGGTTAGGTAGTAGGAAAATTTTTTATATGGAAAGAGTAGTCAAGCACTCAAACAGGCTGTCCAGGGAAGAGKCAAAGTCACCATCCCTGTCAGTGTTCAAGAAACGTGTAGATGAGGTGTTCAGGGACATGGTTTAGCAGACRTGGTGTTGAAGGCCTTATGGTTGAACTCAGTGATCTTGAAGGTCTTTTCCAACCATTATGATTCTATGATTTTATCTGTCATCTCAGATGGCGAAGCTATATACCCCTGGCATATCGGTGTTTTGTGCCTATGGGGCAGCTAGTGCGTAGTTCTGGTTGACGTGCCACCCCAGGTAGATGTTCCTAGGTGGTGGGGCACTGATGGTG